CTGTATATCTCCAGAACCAAAAGAGCTATATTCGATTTTTTCACATCATTGAATAGGTCTCTAAAATACACAACTTTGCCACGATTCAACCGACACTCTATCTCTTATCGTTTACGAGATCCCCATGTACAGAAACGAATTTGAATAGCCCTGTATATAGCACCACTGGAGGTAATAATAGAGGTACTTTGCTTGATTGAGTACCTGAATTTACAATTTACAATGCGGATGTGCTAATTTGAAAACCGGCAAGTAAACTAAATCGATTTGATCATTCAACAGGTTGCACCCGGAATGTTTATGCTTATGAATTTCTAAGGATTCCAGATAATTGAGTTTGCAACCCTTCCTTGCATAGTGCAAAATTTCCGTATAGTTTAGATTCGGAAACTTGTGGTTGCACGCCAAGGAATGGTTTGAAAACGTATTTTTATAGAAGAGAATATAGGCCTCTCCACTCCACTCAATGAGTTCGAGTTTTTTGAGAAAATTTATTCGAATCGTAAACTGCATTTGATGATACTTACTATGAATGAAAAAAATATGCATTCCAATGAGGAAGGGATTTGGCAAAAAGCTGCGTATTGTTTTCTCAGAAATAACAGCATTTCGAATGAGGCATTCAAAGCAAACAGAACATTCAGCAACGAAATTGAAACATTTGAGAAGTATTCATAAAAGGCCTTTTCAAATAGAACGGATACCCTCAGTGTAAAGGAAATTGTCCTCATCGCGCACCTTTCAATTCATTGTTTGTGGACGTATATCCGGTCCTTTATTCGGTAACTTCATTCATCTCTTTGTCGTATTGATCATTTCTTTTTATTTTCTTGTGCAGTGAATCCAAACTCTCATTTTTTTAAGGACAAAACACAAGCAATACAGGAAAATACTAAAGGCGTTCTAAGAACGGTGCTTGTGCGGAAGTAGCGATTCACATTGGATTTGAATCGCTGGAGATTAAATTAATTTGGAAAAAACGTTCACAGGAAGTTTATTCCACATAAACGCAGTTTTCCAAGTGAAAGAGTTTTTGAACAGTTCGAGGTGTACTGAGTTGAACCTCAAAACGATGAGCAGCCACAGTCCGTGGCGTATTTATGATATTATACTGTTTTGAAACTTCCGAGAAAATTCCGAGTATTTCCGGAAATATCCGGAAAAAACTGAAAACAGGAATTTTCGTTTTCATTTTTTTTAGCGTTATTTGACAACAGCTGAAAACCAAAACACGTTTTCATTGATACTTTTTTCAGCTACACGTTTTCATGATCAGATTTACTATCTGACATTTCATCTTCTGGCAATCATCATCAACTCTATTTTCTATTATGAAAGCCATATTGTTTTTTATACAGAAAAATAGTGCTTCTCTAATCTATGGCCTGATTAATGATCAATGAACTCGTCCAAGAACTTGAAGATATAGGGGCTAAGTAGGTACATTTGTATTATTTGCTGAGGGGGAAGTACGAGAGATATAAATCATTAAGAGAATCATTATTTTTGACAGCCATTTATTTGGAGCAGGAGCCTCACAGATTACCATATCAACTCTTATAAAGTTATTCCAGATACACAGCTTGAACCTGAGATTAAACCTATTATGTTTTTTTTCAGAAACTACAGTAATCAACCACCTAATTTCTCACTGAAATCGATAAATAATCATGAATTTCTGGAAGACTAAGATAATAACAATTTAATTCGTGATCTATTCAGTGAGAGGCTTTCTGTAGGTATTGTGTATTGGTGAACGTGTCAGGAAAACTTTTTACAAATGGTGGTGTTTGTATATTTATTCTGCATACACTATTTCAAACTACCTACATTAATTGTAGGAAATAAGTTTAAGTAAGAATTTGTAATTTGTCGGAGTATTGTGTCAGTATCCACAACAGAAGGTTCTGCAGTAAGTACTGTGTGAACATACATTTTACAGGTAGGTTTTGAAACACTATAAGAATACCTAAAGACAGTAAAAAAAAATTCAAAACCTCAACCCAAAAAATATAATCAAGGCTATTTCAGATTTAGTCTGTGCCAATAGAAAATGTTCCACATTGTTTGGTACTCACCCAATGAATGCAGTAAAACCAAAACGGCTATGTAAATAGATCTATTCATTATCGAACACAGATTCTGAAGAATTAAGACCAAAACAAATCACAGAAAAGCTTCTTTGATCACAAACGCATTTTAGCACTTAAATCAATTGTTCAGTTATAGTACATAAATAAGAGTCAGTAGATCTGACTGGATACATTGCACTTCTGAGAGTAGTGCGTTTAATTAGGAAATGTAAGATTTTAGAGCAAAAGTTCATCTAGTACCGGTTTGCGGAAAACTGATAACCAAAAATGTCCCGTTTACATTATCACGACCACTCCAAAGTCCACCAAACTCGAAAATCACCACTCTCTTGGAAGATCAATAGCATCAGAGAATAGAGAAATATTAGTAATATTTGTACTATACTATTCACTAAATATTTACACAAAGCTTGACAGAACCCAACCTAAACAACACAACCATCCCACAGTACTGACACACGAATGAACACGAGAATATCAAACATAAACTATACGAGCAGCGGGGTTGGTTAAGTTGGCAGCAATGACAAACTGATCTACTTTCACAGTGGCGTTGCGAAAGTATGCGTTGGAGGCTGCAGAAAACTCACATCTAAAGGGATATATTTCGTTGCGAAGTTCACGGAAATATTGAGATGTTTCAGGAAAACGGTTGAATTCAGAGTAAAAATTTGAAATCAAAATAGTGAATTAAATTTGCTTCCGGCTTTTCTGTAATTTTCAGTTTGAAAAATTGAGTTTTCCATGTGATTCAGTGCAGTAGACATTGAATTTTCGGAAACCAATTTCTCATCTTATCTTATTTTTTTTGATGAATTTTAAGGAGAGTTGGAAAAATAAGAATTTAAAGAAATGAAATTGAGATACTACTTGTAAGTATTGTAATACGGAGTTTTCATTGTAAATCTCCGTTTATTTTTTTGGATTACAGTGTACGGGGTACGTTCAGAAAATAACAGGAATTCATGTTATGTGAGAAAAATATTCATTTATTCATCTACATTAATGTCGTCGAATTCAAATTCTCAATATTCTTATTTGAATATATTTTGGTGAATATATCAATTATTTTTTCAAATAAGTCCAATTTTTTCTGTTGCATTCATTATAAAAAAACATGTCCATCAATTCATAACAGACTCATTTGAATTTAGAAACGGTATCATTTGGCAATTTTTTCCCGATTACATATTAGGAATGACTTTTGAACATTTTAGAATGTACCGGTTTGGATAACTCTGGTTTCGGATTATCCTCTTCAGTTACCTCTTCAGTCGGGTAGAACACTGGAATCGGAGGGCAACTATTTCTGAACTCGTCACTGTTATACAACTCGAACAGTTTATAATCAGACAAGTTCTTCAATTTGTTTTTCCGGTGCTCTACAATTTCTAAATATTTCATTCTGAAATCCAAATATTTCTCATACCATTCCTTTTCGCTGGGGTCGAGCGAATATTCCCCATCAGTTTCAACTTTCCCCATGATCTCCTCGAATTTTTTTTTGAAATCCAGGTACTTCTGATACCACTCAGATTCCTCGAATTTCAGGTCAGACACGGTTTTCTTTGTCTTGGCGAATATCTTCAGTTCCAACTTCTTAATTTTGTCAGTGACTAGCTCTTCCTGGGGTCTTGTGGGAGGTTTCTCCTGCTTGCTGACTTTTTTTAGCTTTTCCTTTGAAGGACTCACTTTCTTTATTTTTCCCTTGCCGATGTCGATGGGTATCGCTTCATAGAACGCGTGTTCTGGAAGAAGGACGGCGCTTGTTTCGCCTGCAGTGCCGAACCATTCTCCACCATTTATGTCGATCAACAGCAGGTCCCCTACAGGTTTGTTCTGGTTGAGTTCGCATAACAAATTCATGTTCTGTTCGATGACGTACAAAGCAGGCCCGTTGTATTTGCTGTCGAGCAGCTTCCCGTAGAATGCTGCCCCTGAAGGAAACCTAGGAAGATTATTTTTCTGATTACTGAATCCAATCCACATAAATTCAAACATTAGAAGGACAATAAGGTAAGACGTAAAACGTTGGACATGTTGTGTTTTTTCTGAACTTTGAAGGGCCGTAACTTTGTAAATGAGGGAGAGCGCCGCTTTTTTCTTTCGAATTCGTAATCTACGCATCAAAATACGTAAGTACACTAAACATTTTTTTCATAATCGCCGGGTTCCCCTTAAAACGAAAATTTACCATAATTTTTTATCAAGAATATTTCCGTATTATTCATCTGATTTGGAATTCGGCAATTTATTGTGCAATTCCTGAGCGACGCTCAGGAATTGTTTTTCATCTCAGAAAGACAAGCAGGTAGCACAGTCACATTTTTATTCCAGGCGTTCTGTTCCTAAACTGAATTAGCCATTCTCAAATAGAATAAGCTATTTGACACATTTGGAAATTTTCATGTCACTAAAATATTACACTGACTGAATAAATCACAATTTATTATGCTCAACCTCTTTCCAGAAGCTTCAATAACGTTCGATGAAAATGGTGTTTACAGAAACAATAACGCCGTTTAAAATAGCATCGATTGTTATGAATATTCCTTTAAGATTCCATGTAAGTATTGTCGAATCTTTTCAAATGAAAAAAGCAGTTGAAATGATTGATTTACGCAGTTATGAAAATCAATATACGCAAATTTGTTACCTCACCTAATAACGTAAGTACAATGAGAAAATAGAATAAATGTTATCACTTTTTGTAGTAAACTGTCAAACGCCCCAAAAATGGTTTGGAACAGTGCTTATTCTACGCTAGACATTATAGTTCCACTTTTCATTAACCACATCCGCCAAAATCGACAATACACAAAACTATCAAACCTAATTTCAACTTGTTCCTCTTCATCGAGTTTATCGTCCACCCAGAATCCTTGGTAAACTTGGCCGTCCTTGGTTGTGTAAATACCATATCCTTCTCTCCAAACAACTCCGCTACGATGGGCACAATAACCACCCTGATATTTGTCGCCGTTGGGAAAGGTGAAAGTGGATTTTCCTTTATGAAAATCGGCATCCAACTCTTGGTTCAATGGATTCGTTTGACTGGTCATTTCAGATGCAAAAGTTGCCAATTTGACAATGTAGCAACATTACGTTGTGTCATGTCATATATTTAATGTTTTATGAACCCACTGGCAGCATCAGTCAAGAACTTGTGATGATTATTGAGCACGCGGGGTTAATGAGTTTAGTGCAATCAGTTTAGCCCAAGGTAAGACAGCGGTAATAAGAAAATTATAGCACTATAACAAAATATCATTATATTTCATTAGTTCGGACATCCATTGTCTAAAATGATATGAGTTGATTTGAAATCCCTGAAAAAATCGATAAAATTAAAAAAGATTAGCTAAAATACAACAATGAAGAAGGGAGTCCACAACGAATTGGTCTCAAGCTGAAATCATCCACAAGGAGGAACATTGGTTTAGAAGAAAATTCAAAGAAGCCGCATATATGTTGTCCAACAACGCATTTCGCCAAGCGAGCATATAGATACGCAACATATGGAAACCTATAATCAAGCGGAACACGACCAACTCCCGCCAAACGGTCAGCTCCCGTTGATAACCGATGAAGCGGAAAGAGGGGGAAGAGGGGATAGGTGAAAGCACTCGAATAACCTATAAATAGTCAGATCTTGGAGGAATGAGTCTGTAGTTAGGGAAGCTATAGACTATGCTGTAGATGACCACCCCTCCCGAATTTGGGACCTCTTTTGTTCCTAATTTTTTAGTAATTTGAGTAAAATAATATACCAAAAACCTTAAAATATTCAAAGTGATAGAAAATTATGGACACTGAACAATATAAATTAGATTTTATATTGGATTGATGTTCCAATAGGCGTTTGAATCTCAACATTGCTAAATATCATGTATTGTCTTCTACTAGAAAGTCCAATACAATTTTCTTATGAAATTAATAACACTGCCATTATTCTAGTTAATGTAATGAAAGACCTTGGTATTGATTTTGTTTCACATATAGACCAAGCTGTTTCATATAGGCTTCATAATGAGGAACACTAGAGAATTCAGAGATATTGAGGTAATAATCACGCTATTCTATGGTTATGTGAAGTCAACACTTGAATGAGGGGCAATGATGAGTATCCCATAATAATTCTCACATACAACAAATTGACGCTCTCCAAAGAAAGCTCTTGAAATTCATATCCTTTCGCACCCTGAAGGGGAATTGATTATTCTATCAGTTTGAACAACCAATTTGCTAGTATATCATTGAATTCACGTCGACTCTTCATTACAGTCGCATTTCTATTGCTCCGCTGCTACAAAAAAAATAATTTTCATGTACTTCAACTACAAATACAAGAAAAAGTTCAATTGTCAGAGTAGATATGTGTCAGATATGTACCGCTCTTGGTGGAATCAAATGTGCCAAGTCACTTGAACACCTCCCATGAAAGTATTTACAGAAGAGAGACACATTTCCAACCTTTCTTCGATGTTCCAGGCTATCAAGGTTGCCAGTGATGTTTGCGTCTCCAATCAGGCGGATACTGATACTCCAAAGAAGGTCTGATCTGAGCTTTATGAAGCATCAAAAGTTGCTAAGGTGTGTACAGTTTTCTGGCTCGGAACCGTGTTCCAAGCTTTTAAGAAGCAGCCTTTGCTGTTCCAGCGACATGGTTGTGCCAAGACATATTGATGTCCATTTTAACCCCCAACAAACTTATCGAAGCAGAAAGCGGAATTGTCTGACCTGACATCATTATATCCGGTTGAGAAATATTTATCTTCTTGGAGGGAACCGATGCCTGGGGTTTTGTGGCATTGAATTGAATCTTGTTACTTTCACCCCAATTCGAAATCACTTCTAGATCCTCAATAAGATATGCAACGTCCTGCTGCCGGTGAAGATGTGCCTCCGTAGCCGATGTCCTGGAATCCAAATGGAATGATCGGATAAGTGTGCTGTCGTCAGCAAAGCAATATATTCGATTCTGGGTTTTCTAAATTCAACACCAGATAGCGTTGTTTCGACCCGACATAGGTCTAATCAGTGGTGCAAGGCTAGGGAATACACGAAATATTCGATGGGGCGAAGGAAGACGTAATTCAAATGGAGTTTGAAACAAAATTTATTGAGATCGAACACTACATGAAACAAAAATATAGATTCGATTGGTAACTGAAAACTACTAACAATTTCAATTGTTATGAAATTGTTTGTTGATTTTTTTCAAGTACATTCGAAATGGAACAGGTCTCAACTTTTTGAGAGTCAAAAACATAATTTTGGGTTACATATTTAGGTTTCTTCGTGTTTGGCCACTCCAGGCATAATATTGATAAAATTGATGTATGAAATTAGTGAAGATCTATGGTGTGTTGAAGAACGTGTGAATATCGTTGAGTTTCGAAACCAAGTCCACTTTGTTGTAAATGTAGAACAGTATTACAGCACCTGCGATGTACCATAAGGAATTGAAGACTTGTGCTAATAGATACATCCTGAAAATAAAATATGACAATGAAAAAATTTTCAACAATGCAAATCAATTTTTACCTTTTGAAGTGCACTTTTGCATTATCCAACGTTTCATCAGTTTCTTTCAATAAATACCTCCTGCATCCCATCATTGCAACGGAAAAATAATTGAACGGCTCTGCGAGTTTGTGTTGTTTTTCGTAATTAAAATGAGGAAAGTCGCTGGGAAGCAACTTAGTTTCCAGCTCTAAGACTTTTTTATTCGGAAATTTCCACTGATTCGTGAGATAATATCTCAGAGCCATATTGGCTATATATATTTTTCTCTGGATTTTCAGCAGTCTGAAATATGAATCTTCGTTATGACATTTTTGAATAAAACCTAAGATGTAAACAGTTACAAATATGGAGTTTGTGAGTTATTCATTGTCTATTCCATATCAATATAGTATGAAATGAAGAACGAGTACGGATCCACTTCTAGACATTTCAAGTTTCAATCCAAATTCTCCATTCAAAATGTTTAATATCATAAATGAAACTACGATCATAAAAATGTCAACTATGGAATGTTTACAAATTTTGATCTTGAATAACAAGATTCGGGAACTGGTTTGCTAGGACCCAGTGGCACTTACGGCCTGATGACTTCCACACTCGCGGAACTAGCCAAACTTTACACCCATGCCCAATCCCTGAAGAAATAGGATGAAATCAAAGGATGTAATCTTGCCAGGATCACCCTGGGCGACCCTGGGAAGCTGGCGCCGAAGAAATATCGGGCGATGACTAGGAAAAATCTACGCTTAACAGTAGGATTTCTGACTGGCCACTGTCAACTAAGGAAACACATCCATAATATGAGGCTAGTGGACAGGATGGACGATGACCTAGGAGGACCACTTCTCGGGAGGATGTACAATGGGTCACATGTGGCCTAAGTGCTGTGGCCCTACACTCACCCTCCCTACTCTACAGATACTGGTTTGATACTCGTGCATTGAGTTCTCTGTCAGTTCCATAGATGGCGTCATCGTCCAAACCTACTCAGGCTTCAGCTTTGAGGACAGTTCAGTTTACTAATGCATTCGTACCGCGATATTCTGTTGGAAAATCGGGTCCATCGCTTTCTCAGAGAAGATGACGACGACAATATCCGCCCGGCTTCTGTCGAAGCCTCTAAGGCTAAGAAGTATCCGGAGGTCGACTCAATAACCAATAGGTTGTTGAAGAGGCTCCGGGAAAACTGCCCCGTGAGACTATTGAGCATCATTAACAACTTACTGGCCCTCAGGTACCTTCCCAGAAGGTGGAAGCATGCGGTCGCTTCCAAAACAGGATCAGTACCTGCTGTTCCCACAGAACTACAGCCCGATCAGTCTGCTCTCCTCGGCGGCTGAGCTGGCTGAAAGAGTCGTCCTGCAAAGGCTTAACAAAGACGTCGATGACCAAAATGTTCTGCCTGACGAGAAATTTGGTTTCAGGAGGGAACATTCCATTGAGTTGAAGGTCGAAAACACCATCAAGGAGCTCAACAACAATGAAAAAGTACATCATTAGACATTTCGAAGGCCTTCGACCGTGTTTGGCACGAAGGCCTTCTTCATAAACTCCTTGAGTTTGGCCTGTCTCGGGGCCTGGTCCGGGTCCTGGTCCGGGTCCTGGTCCAGTGGAGCCTGGTCCGGGACCTGATCTGGTGGATCTGGTCCTTTCTGAAGGACATCACCTGTCAGGTCAGAGTAGAGGGAGATCTTCGCTAGAGTGCCACAGGGATCCGTGCTGCCACACTTTACTCTTTTGATACCAGCGATCTCCCGAGGTCCGAGGTACGCCGACCTCGCTTCTTCCATTGGTCGTGAGCTCAGAGTAGTCTATATGCAACGTACATTGGACGACCACGAGCGCTGGTACCTCGATTGGAAGATCCGAGTGAACCCGAACAAAACTCAGGCAATAACCATGGTAAGAACGACGTTTTACCCGGCGATGAAAGTGAGGGTATCTGGAAGAGAGATCGACTGGCAATCGCGGGTGAAGTACCTCGGTCTTCTAATAGAACGTAGGCTTACCTGGGCCCGGCACATCGAAAGCGTGAAGTCAAAGATACTGAGATGGATGGTAAATATGTACCCATTGATTAACAGGAAGTCGAAGTTAAATTTTAAAAATAAGATTTCAATTTACAATACGATGTTCAAACCTGTCTTCATGTATGCTTCAGGCGTCTGGGGACGAACGGCTCCGATGAATCTCTTAATTTTGAAGAGATTGCAAAACAAGTTATTACGGATGATAATAAATGCTCTGTGGTTCGTGCGGAATGAAGCCAACCGTAGATATTTGCAGCTGCCTTCTATTCAGCAGTCCAGTCAGTCGAGAAACCGGCGAGTTCTCGATTATCCGTTAGTTAAAGAAACTATAGATTATGCTGTAGACGATCCCTTCCAATATGAAAGGCCCCAACACTCAGTCGAATGAGGCTCTCATTTTCTTCATTACCGGGTGATTAGCCTTTTGATCCAACTTTCCAGCCAGATAGGGGTACACCGTGGTGGTGCGGATGTCCGAGGACCTTCTTACCATCATAAACCCCAGTGAGTTGTGTCTCGTTCTGTCCTCCTGACGAACACACGTCCGGAGAGTAAGAAAGCTAGGCTCCAGCCCGAATCAAATTAGGATACTATCGTGCAATGCATTTGTATAACGAACATCATTAACGCTATACTCCGACTACAACGCTTTCCTTATCTATTCAAGGAGGCCACGGTCATTATGATCCCGAAGACAAACAATCATCGGCCGATAAACTTGGCCTCATCGATGAGCAAGGTGGCAGAACGGGTCATACTGAAAAGACTTGAGAGCAGACCGATGAACTAAGAATCCTACCGGATATACAGTTAAGTTACAAGTAGGAACACTCTTAGGAACTTCAATTCGTGGGGGTGGTTGACTACGCGATTCCACGTTTCAATTTGGGTAAAGGTTACCACACCGGAGGGACATCCATAGACGTCTCCAAGGCATTCGATATAGCTTGGCACGACGGCCTCGAAGTCAAAATGGCAAATTTTGGCTACACGAGACCATTGGTAAGACTAATCGATTCTTTTCTAGCGGACAGACGATGTCAATGCAGAGTAGGTCAAGAATTCTCCACCAGGCGACTTTTAGAAACACGAGTCCTACAAGGCGCAGTTCTATCCCTCACTTCATCTCGGTGCCTGATCCGAAGAACAACTTCAACAAGTTGGCACTTTACGCGGATGACACAACTCTATTGGCGAGATCCACCAACCAAGAGTTAGTTACAGGATACCTGTAACAACAAGTGGGCAGACTAGAGGAGTGGGCTAACCTCCGGAAGATTTGTATCAAATCTGACAAGAGTCAGGTGATACTATTCACCTGGAGGAAGGTACACCCAGAAGGAGACATCGTCTTCAACGGCAGGCCATTCCGTGGACAAACGAAGCAAGATACTTGGGAGTCACCTGCGACAGGAATCTAACAATCAGGTCCCGTCTCCAATGGTTAGGGCTGGCGGAAGCCGCTCGACACAATCTCTATCCCATTATCGGACGCAGGATTAACATGGACCTACAAGTAAAAGTGCTTTCAATCCAGACCATCCTTCTCCCTATCATCCCGTCTTGCTGAAGTGCAAAGCATCAGGTTGAGGACTACACGTAAGTGAGTGGGGTGGACGGAAGAGATTGTAGCTTCTGCACACACTAACGGTGTGGGGAAGATTTCATCTCACGGTTCTCAACCCCGGAGGGGGCATGGGGAATGCATTTGTTGTTCAGTCTAGCACCACTGACGGGCCGAAACAACGCTGTCCAGAGTTGAATCATTAATGCGTTATGTTTGGGGTCTGGTTGTCGAATCTCGTCGGGGAAATTTTGTCATTCATATTGATCTGATGTGCAATATGTCGGCTCGTACACGTAGTCCATCGGAATCTTAACACAGTTCGGCAGTTGTCCTATCTTTGTGAACGTGAACGATTTAGAGTTCACAAGAAATTATTTCATTGGATGAAATCTATTTTTCGGGTTTTCCGGCCGTGGTTTGCAGGTTTTTATGCCTGAGTTTCGTCTACTACTGCGGTAGACATTATCAAAGGCGATGTGATAACGGTCGCAGTGCCCAAGTTGAAGCTCGAGGTACTGTTCCCGTCGTTCCGGGTTTCAATCGTTATGAACTGTCTACTATACAGGGTGTCCCTGGACTTCTTCTTTTCCTCTCGGGAATGTATAGATGGGGTCAAAATATCACCAGTACTTCATATAACTTTTTTTTCTAAAATCCTTCGTTACCAAGTAACGGGCCCTCGAAGTTACAAAATGAAAAATGTTTTTCTTTGATAACTTTTCAAGTGAATATTCAAAATCATCCAAATTTTGGTAATTGACTAAACAAATGAATTCC